CAGCATGGCTGGCTGGGGAATTCTGGGAGTTGAAGTCCACTCATCTTAAAGTGGCCAAGTTTGGACAACACTGGCATAATGCGTTAAATACTTTGTTCCATTCTTCATTCCTTCTTCCTTTGCCGGCTTCGCAGCAACCAGTTTGGTTACTCTTAAATTGCTGTTTTGTTACCCAACATAGTTCTTTAGGAAGGAATGAACTTGGGGCAAATTAATAAGCCCCACTGTACTGTCTCTCTAATTGTTAAACAATTATTTGTAGATTTCCGCATCACTTTAGGTTATTGCTTTGTCTAGATTATAACCAATCTGACGTCCTCAACAATTCACTGTCATTTTTGGAGTCAGGTTCTTTAAGATCACAGGAATGTAATTTTCTTGGGAGCAAAAATATCACCCTGGGCAGAACCTTTTAAAAAAGCAAAGGTAACGGTATGGCTTGCATTTGGCTTTTCAATCTCCTATTGCATTTTTAAAAACATTTATTTTCAGTAAGAAAGGAAATTAAAGTCACTGTTGTTATTAAGCCCTTCTGGCAGTTCAAGTCATCACAAACTTGGTTCTCAGAATCTAGTGAAGTGAAAATGCTGGCACAAGAGGGGGAAATCATAGGTTTATTATTTTTTCCCCAAATAATTGTTTTATTGCATTATAAGATGTAAATACTACATTATAAAATATAGATATTAACTCGGTACAGTGGCATTCACACAATATAAACTATAAATTGTTAAGACTATGGGGGTTTAGACAGGTTAAACCTTTAATGGCAAGGAGAGAGAGCTTTACATTAATGTTAAATATAGTTTCTAAATTGTTAATAAACACAAAGTGCTTGAATCGTACAATTAAAGCCAAGTATGGCATTGATAGATAATTGCAGTTGAAGTCTACACATCTTAAAGTTGCCAAGGTTGAGAAACACCGGTCGGTACAGATTGCAGTATTTCATATTTATTTTGGTGCAGGACCAGACCGCCTCTCTTTCCATGAGCTCACAAGTATATTTGCTAAAGAACTGTCAATGTCATCCTGAACTTAACCCTAACTCTGAGTCAACCTCAGCTTACGTGCTGCATTCTTTTTAACCAGGTGAAGAAACCTATGCTGAGTCAAGAGCTTTAGTGATTTAGGGACTTTCCCTTCCTTTTAAAACTCCTGTCAGTTTCCACTATAGACAATCTGAATAGATAAACCCAAACACAATGTTGTCCTAATGTCGTAACTATCATCCCTAATCGGGTTTATAAATTCAGCCAGGCAAAGGGCTTCCCCCTCAAGATGAAATTTCAGGCTGCAGGTTGGGTGGGGGGGGTTCTGAGACACGCCCATCCCCACACAAGCATTCCTTGCAAGTGGAAAGCTAGCGGCGAAGGAGGCGGTGTTCCTCATGAAGCTACATTTCTGCCTGTGAGGAGGGGGAGCTGGGAGAGGATCAAATCTGGACAAAGCCCACGTGACAAGAGGACACTGTTTGCAAAGGCACAGTTCAAAAATTGCTCCCATGTGTTAGATTGTAACCTAGGCTATAATTCCAGAAGACTTCATTACAGACTTAGAAGGAATTCAGAGTACAAGCCGGAGCTAACCAAAGTATTTTATTGATCTAAGTCACTATGCCACTGATCTACGTACATAGGTACCGCCGTTTATGTGTACATAAAAATGGGCAGAAATTCGGTTGCACTGACATGGCCGCCATCTTGACTTTTTTGACCATACTCCTGTCATGATAACACAGAGTAAAACTAGATACCACTCAACCTCCAAACCACGTTTTCTCCAGCCCAGAAACCCCCTTCAAGGACATGGATAAAGTTTGCTTTCTCACCTAGGAAATGCATCAGAAATAAACCTGGTACTGTATTCTAAAGCCTAAAATTGGAATGGTGAACGCTCAGCTCCTTCTCAGATCTCAAAACACCTCAGGGGGAAAAAAACTAAAGAAATCCCAGCCCTGCTCCGATGCATTTACAATAGGATGAGTTACACAGGCTAATTATCCCAATTACTCTCAAATGCTTTTTCTGACTGATCTTTGGGGAACAAAGGACCTCGATGGGTTGGTTTTTCCATAGTGATGTTTTAGGCTGGTGTTTCTCAACCTCAGGGGAATTCTGGGAGTTGAAGTCCACCCGTCTTCAAGTTGCTGGAGCTGAGAAAGCCTGCTTTAGGCTTAAGAAAGGGCAAGAAGAGATCATGCTCATGCATCCTTTTCCTTTGTCCATCAATTGGCTTCCTTCCTCATGGTTAACAAAGCAATGGGCGATCTAACTGGTGGGATAAGCCACACTTAAGTTGCTCTGTGCCCTTTAGTTAAGCTGCAGAAGGAATATTAGCAGCACATAAAGGAGCCTTCAGGATCTGGCCTGCTCCAAATACTGTACGTTGACGCTACCAGTCTCAGGATCCCCGGCTGGCAGGTGGGCAATCGTTGGCCCAAAGCCTCTGGAGGGCACCGAATTGGGAGGAAGCCATGTAAGGGAACAACATCTCCTACCTGCAATGCTTTGAAACCCTGGAACACGGGGATGTTCTGCCGTAGCAAAGCACCCTCAGCTTTGTTATTAGCAATTAAGATCAGCTTGCAAGAGCTGAGCAGCCAGGTGGAAAAGGGGGGCTTTTATTGCCATTCCTATCTGTAGTTTCCCTTCTGGGAGGAAATGCTTGCTTTAGGAAAGAAAACAGCGTCTCTATGTCCTTTTGTGTGACTGCCCTGATCAGATTTGTCTTCACGCACACACAGATAGAGCAGGGCTGAATCAGGGGTGGGCACCCTTTTCGATGGCCGGGAGCTGCGTTTACATTTTGTTTGAATGTCCAGGAATGCAAAGGAGGTGAGTACAAATTATCCTTTTTTTTTTCCCCCTTTTAAACAGGAGACTATTTTGTTTCAACTAACCTGTTTCAGGGTTTTCAAGACAGGGGCGATGTGTTTCCTGCTGGAGCGTGGCAGGGGACTGACACTACCCATTTTTTGCAGTGGTGATGAAACAGCTTTTTGTCAAAGGCTGCCCACCTTGGTTTTAAGCAGCAGCCATCTGGTCTCACCGGTACGTGGACCCTCTGGTGATTTCCCACACCTTTATTTCTTCTCCGCTCCTCAGATACCCTGACAGAAGATGACATTTATTGCTGCTCTTTATCCAAGACGTTGTGCCATACCTCCACCCCAGTCATTGTGGGCTTCTATTCACCATGTGGAACTCGCCTTCACTCCCTTCTCGACCAGATTTCAGGTCAGTCCCACGCCTATGATGGAATCAGTGGAGAATTAATCTAAATACAGGTCATCCTCATTTAGTGACTACCCCATTTAGCGACCATTCACAGTTTCAATGGTGATGAAAAAGTAACTTTACCATCAATCCTTGCATTTACAATAGTCACAGGTCTGTAAAGCAGTGTTTCTCAATCTCAGCAACTTTAAGATGTATGGACTCCAACTCCCAGAATTCCCATGGCTGGCTGGGGAATTCTGGGAGTTGAAGTCCGTACATCATAAAGTTGTTGAGATTGAGAAACACTGCTGTAAAGGAAAAGAAAGGTGAAGTAAGATCATAAGCACAGTCACAGTTTCACTTAGTGACCACTTCAATTAACAACCAAGTTGCCAGTCCCAGTTGTGGTCGCTAAACGAGGACTACCTGTAGACACATATACTAGAGGCAGAGAAGGGAACAGCCCGTCCTCTACCCATGGGTGTCTGAGGAGAGAGGAAGTGACATCACATGAGTCATCATGCCATCACACAACTTGTATCATTTGCATCATTTGATCTGATGCCAACCTGATGTCACCTTGGCATGTTTCCCTGACACCTACACCTCTACTTTGCTTGGTTGGTTCTTTCCTATCATAAGACGTCATTTAGAAAACGTGTAAGCCACCTTTGGGTGCCTAACCCTCCTGGGCAGCTTCACCAGTCAAAATTCCAAAGGTTAAAATCCGAATCCAGGATTGTGACGCACGAAATAACCGGGAGAAAAAACAAAAATCCAAATGGGGCCCTTCAAGATTGTGGGAGAAAGATGGAAGGTATCCCTCTTTGAGAACTTGGCAGATCTTCTGTTGACCCCTTCTGAACCCACTTTTGCAGGATGCATGGTCAAAGAATCCATCCGAAGGGAAGAAAACGAGTTCAGGAGGACTCATCAGAGGCCCCGACTCCCACAAGGGACGAACTATCTTACCCTCCTCTGGTACCTTGTCTTCTACCAACCAGTCGTCACGGAGGTGCACCTTCGAAGAAAAACCATTGAGTTCCTCTTCATAAGGTTCAGCGCCTGGGAGTATGCAGGCAGTGACAAGTTGTGGGCTGGGTTGGTCACCACTCTGTGTGACCATATCCGCCACCACTTTGGTCCTCTTCCCTTGAGCTTTTTCCACGTGGTCGGAAGCCACCCTCAGTTTGCCTCAGGATTCACCCAGCAAGAATGGAGGCTTAAAAGGAAAACATGTTGCACGGCAGGAGGACTCGTGGTGGTTTTGCTAGCTGGCGCAGGCCTGGCCACTACTGCCGTCTTTGTGCCAGAACTAAGGGATGGGACAGTCTTGAAGATCCTTGGTAGCACCATCGCTGGCATTTCAGGGTCGGGGCTCGTCATAGCCATCACTCCTGTGCTTAAGCACCTGATCATCAGCCAGAAGAAGAAGATAGAGAGCATGACCAGTGATGAGAAATTCACCAGCCACCTGGGTTTCATGAGTTCAGTGAAGAGAGAGATCGAAGTCCTCACCAACTTTGTGTACTACATGGAAATCTTTGAGCGTCAGCGCCTGAGAATTGTCTTTGAGATTACGTGTTTGGATATGTGCTACCCGGAACGGGTGGTTGGGGTGCTGAATGCCATCAATACGCTACTTTCAGACAGGAATGCCCCATTCATCTTCATCCTGGTTGTGGACCCCTGTGTCATTGTTTCTTGCTTGGAGCAGGCTAGCTCCATGAAGGGAATGGCCGACAATGGGTACCTGTACCTCAACCGCACAGTGACCCTTCCCTTCTCCATTCCAGAGATTGGCATGCGATCAAAGATGCATTTTTTGCGCGAGGCTTTCCAGACACGGGAAGATCTAATGTACAGCATCATTACAAGGAATATGGAGGCGGGAGTGACAAAGACCAAAGGGAATGATGCAGCTTTGGTGAACTCAGAAACGCCAGTTGAAATGGACCAACACCAGATTGATGCTCAGGCGGTCCAGTACATCCATGAAGCTTTCCATTGTCTACATAATGAATATGATTGCCTCTACAAATATGTCCCAGATAGCATTGTCCAGATGAGAAGGATCGTCAATACCATCCCAATTACTATCAGGCTTATGACTCAACAGCACATGCTGAGGCACAATCTCTGTCCCCGGTCAGTGGCAAGTTGGGTGGTCTTGGCCAACCAGTGGCCATGTCGCTTGAGTTGGATCCTACAGTGCATGGAAGACAGGCTGCAGAGCCGGCCACCGAACGATTATGAGAAGGAGTTGATGTGGAGCGTCTTTGTGGAGACCTGCCATGACTTTTTCTCCAAACACAAGGAACTTCAGAACATCCTGGCCTTAGATGGTGACCCTGAACTTTTTGAGAGATTCTTGTCATGTGATTTTCCCTTCACCATACAAGAAGGGAAACAACTGCTGATGTATACTGTCAACTTAGACCATTCAATAAGGTATAAGATGGGACAGCTGCAGGCTTTGGCTTCTCTGGAGAGAAACTATGGCAAACGTGAAACAAATTCAGACAGAAGAGTTTAGGGACCATGGATTCCATGTGCCGTCCCAGGGAATTCTGGAGTGAAAGAAACTTAGCAGAATTTCATTTGCCAGGGAGATGGGAACAAAAAGGGCAGAAAAGCTGTATCAGAGGTTGCTTTGTCTGTCTCTCCATCCCCCCAGTGTGGAACTGCAAGAGAAGCTCTGAATATATTAGGGTGCAAATCATCTGGGCACCAGGCCGTCTCACCCAGTGACGTGGATGCCAAAAATCAAAAGCAACTGACTTTTTAAAAAAAAACGTCTCTGCCATCTCACGAGGTTGCCAAACTGCTTGAGCTGTAGGGATCTGGAGAGATTTAAGTCATGGCTTTTTAAAAATTAATTCAATTAGGAGTTACGTTACTGCCACCTGGGGCTGCGCTGGTGGCTTTTATTCTAAGATGCTCTTTCAGTTCAGCACAGGATAACGGGGAAGCGAAAGAGCCAATGTTTTTGTGAAATGAGCATGTATTTTAGTATGCTTCCTAGAAGCTTCTGGGGAAAAAAGTACTGGGATTTCACTGCAAACCAGTTAACGGCAGGAGGTCTTGTGATGAGAGGCATCTATGTGGGGGTCAATAAAGTCAAGATGGCAGCCACGAATGCTCTGCTCAAAGCCGTTCTTGTTCTATTCTTATGCATGTTGCACATGCCACACACATAAAAAAGGGCAAGTCTTCAATCAAACTGAGGCCACTGCCAGCTTTTTTAAAATACCCCATCCCCCCCACAGGACACCTTGCTTCCAGCAACGTACAGTAATATCTCGGTTCACGAACGCTTCTGTTCACGAACAATTCGGTTCGCAAACAGCAGCGTTCGCCAAATTTTGCTTCCGTTCGCGAATTCCGCATCGGGTGACGAACATGATCCATGGCCATCTTCCCTGCTCTGACACGTGGTCGTGGCTTCCTCTAGGCGAGATCGCCTGTACATCGTTTCATATTTTCATGGTTAAAACAAAAAAAAAAACATGTTTCAGAATGGATTAACCTTATTTACATTGAACCTTATGGGGAAATTTGATTCGGTTCGCGACCAATTCGGTCCGCAACCAGAATCGTGGAACGAATTAAGTTCGTGAACCGAGGTACCACGGTACTCTAAGAAAGGGTGGAGCGAGGATTTGAAGCGTTGAGTTTTTTTAATGCACTTTGTATAACCTGCTACGAATGCTGTAAAGGAGGATACGGAAAAGAAATCAAATGCACGCTGCTGTCAGGTTAGGTATTATATTTATGACCCGTCAGGATTATCCAAAGGTTAAAAATGTATTTTGATTGTATTTTTGATATTTTATGAGCCAAAAAAGATGCAGTGGAATATTCCAAAACTAAAAAAGCTGCTGAACAAAAACACCAAGCCACAATTGATCAAGAGTTGTGGATCAGGACCGGGGGAAGCCTCAGCTCAAACCTACCTCACAAGGTTGTTCTTGCAGGGAGACGCCTTGAGCATTGAGAGAGAAGATGGGCTATTGATCAGCTGCATAAGTAGTCATTTATATAGACTGCAGAATGTGTGTGTTCTTGCAGAATTTTTTTTTTGAACGGGGGAGGTGATCCTGTGTGTGTGTGTGTGTGCTTTAGAAACATTAAAACTACTTTTCGCACATGCGGAAGGCATCAGAGCGTAGAAGCTGGTGTATATTGCAGGACTGCTCAATCAATCCAGAGATGTGCCCAGATATTTGGGGGCCCGAAGTCAAGGGCAAGATGGTGTTGTTCCCATTCCAAGTAAGGATGCATACTTCAACCCTGGCTAGGAGACGGGGTCCCCCCGATTCTCGCTGCTCAGCACCTGCCCCCAAAGGGCTTGCTTCACTCCACCTAACAGTTGGGCTGGCCCTGAAAACAGACAGGTGGATCTAGCCCAGCTCAGCTGTCAGTCCTTTATGGAAAATGCAAGTGTGTCTAGTAACTCAAAGCATCAGGGGCAACAAACAAGGGATGATTTTTCTCCATAGCTCCCCTCCCTTCTGTAGAGAAACCCACTCTTAATGCTTACACCAGTATTTCTCAACCTGGGCCACTTAAAGGTGTGTGGACTTCAACTCCCATAATTCCCCAGCCAGCATGCTGGCT